TCTATAAGATGCTGTTTTTTAAATTACCTATATTGATTTTTAAAAAAAAACCAACGAAACAAACAGCCAGCAAGAGGATAAAAAAACTGACATTTGCTGATGTGTAATACATAAAAACATCAGTGTACAGGTCAAGAGGCTGGCCAAAGAATGCATGGGTCAAGGCAGAAAATAATCAGGGGCTTCATTAATATCCTACCCCCAGATGACTTCGCAGGACAGTCCACTGATATGACTGGGTTTCCCGTCTTTCTGATGCTTTTAACGACCCCAAAACATCTAGAACTGACCCTAACCCAATACACCTACGTCGCACGAGAGGGTGCAACCTAGGTCCCATAACTGCATGCAGCCTGGGTCCTGCGACTGCATGCAGCCGATCTACCACTCCCTGAAATATTAGACTGTCCCGTGACCTGTGGGTTTTCCCTGTTTGGGGAACGATAATAATTAAGCACCAAAAGTGATACTATGAAAACAAAGCGGGACATTAACACAAGTTACGAAAATATCAAAAGACATGAAACTAGATTCGACTTACCGCTGCACCGCTTTACGGCTATAGCAGTAGTGCAAGAAGAGACAGAACTTATTTTGTAAATCTGAATGGAATTAACCATATGTTCTGGTTTTGGGGCTGAGTGGTCTCGAGTGATGGTGTCCGCCTCGAGTGCTAGAAGTCCTGGGTTCAAGCCCCGGTGAAGGCTGGGATTTGTTCACGTCGACTTCTAGTAATTTCCTCTGGTCTCTGGGTAATGAGTTTGGACGCCCTTGTGTATTGTTGTGTAGTAAAAGAATCAATTGGCATTTGGAAATCGAAAAGAGTAGCCTAACGACGCTGCCCGGGCAAAAATTTGGAGTTTAAAATCTACCCAAAATATATCAGGATCCTCGCCTGTGCTACGGAGTTCGTGCACTGTATTGAGATTATTCGGACTCAGGTTTGAGTTAAAAGTATAACGGAGTATTTATGGTTTACTACCCTTGGGCCATGATGTTGATCCGTTATTCAAACTAACTCAAATCAAATATGTTCTAGTAAAGTATTATGTAGAACCTGTGTTGTTTTATGCATGTGAATCATGGACAATAGACAGACAAGCTGGAAAACATGTACTCGCGGCAGAAATTTGGTTTCTGAGAAGTCAAAAAAAGTAAAGTAAAGATCCCTTATTACGCCTAAGGCGCATCGGGTATGTGGGCAGAGCGTCCCATATTTTTACAGACCAATCGGCACTGGATGGGTAATGTGGTCAGCATTACGCCGGCTGTCTTTACTTCCCCAGGACAGCCATCCTGGTACCCATTTGAGGCTGGGTCGACCTGCGACGCCCCATACTACGATAAAAATCCACCCAGCCAGCAGAGGGTTTCGATCGCGGTACGTTGGATTACGAGTTGGACTCGCAACGCCTAAGCCAAGGACGCCGCGGTTTCTGAGAAGAATGCAGAGAATTTCATAAAAGGATAGAAAATAAAAGAAGTCCTCATCAAGACAGATGAAAGTCGAAAACTCCTTAGAACAGTTAGATACTAATAATCAATACTTGAATGGAAATGATGCCGATGAAGATGAAAGAGCTGACAGGTTGGCTAGATCCGCTGTCACTACCGACGGTCAGCCTATGGATCATGCTGATATTATTACTGCCCTCAGAGAAATGGGAAGGATAGAGGACTTTGGTGGTAGTGAATCCACATCACTCGCCAGAATGGCAGACCTGGGAATTAAGATCGGCATCGCAAAAAAACGAAACGCACAACAGACACGCCAGAAGACTTGTTAATCAACATAGAACTGGTACTATTAGCCATCAGACGTTGGGGTTCATACTGAGGAGAGGATCTGAGCACCTGTGGACATGTCCGGAGTGCAATGATGATAACCCAACTAACTAACTAACTAACTAACTTGGACATGGCCTGAGAGAAGAAATAAACTCGAGAATTCTGTAACAGCCAGAACTGGGTGGAAAGAGAGCAACAAGAAGGCAGAAAGATAAACAGCTAGGATGGCCTAGCCGGGATAAGGGAGTGGGGGAGACAACAACATTGAACTGATCTGTGATTCCGGTTATGGTGTGAGATAGCGAAACATGACAGCCTATGCTTACCGGCACGGCAGTCGATGATATGTTCTAGAATCCAAAGGCTATTCAAGTTTTTTGAGTATAAGTACTTGGGCACCATAGAAAATTATAAGGGGACTGTCCCCCCCCCCCGCCCTTTCCCACTGCAAGCTTTCTTTGTGTCAGCGCCCCTGGCTCCTACCATGC